ATCTGCTTCAGTATCAACAGTCTTTAAGTTAGATATCTATTTATTGGACAAGTTATATAGCCATACATCCCAAACAAGTAATTCTGGACAGCTAACAAACAACACACTAAAAACAACCATATTCATTAAAAAAAAAAGCTAATATAAGACAGTATGGAATGCAATTAAGAATAAGAATAATCATCATCAAGAATAAGAATAATCATCACCTTATAGCTAAGGTGCCTTGAAACAGCTCACACAGCAACAGGCATATTGGACTTCCGCTAATGTCCTGGTCTTAATGCCTGAGGAAAGAGCGAGGTCTTCATAGGCTTCCAGAAAGCTAATAAGGTTGAGGTTGTTGGATCCCAAAGCCAGGCACCACAACAGAGAAGGCTTATGAGTCCCATAAGACAACGTTGTTTCAGAGAGGGGACCTGGAGCATTCCCCCACCCCGCCCCTAGGAAGATCTGGTAGGCAGGGCTGCCACAAGCAGGTCTGCAAGTTGTACATATGGCACCAAATTAAGTTTTAAAAGTCAGTTCTCCATTCTGAACACCAACTGCATGTGCTCCCTTACATCAGATGGACATTGTAGAAGCAGCATAGATTGAAAGGGGAGGGGAGACGGATTAATTCAGCTTCTGCTCCCTGAGTAGAAAGATGCTGAACAGCTTCAAGCATGGTGATGGCATGTATGGGAGAGGGTGAGGACTGTGAGGGAGAAGACATTTGTCTCCCAAGTAATGGTATGTGTGCCAGCGGAGGTGCTAGAGAGAGTGCCTGCTTGCCAGGGAAATGATGAGGAGTTGTGGCGTGGCTGTGCTGCTGTTGCCCCTTCCTTTCCTCCCTGCTCTTCATCCCCCTAGTCTCTCGAGGCTCCTCCTTTCCCAGGTTACCTTGCCTGGGCTTAACAAGTAGCAGCAAGTTGGTTCCGCTTCTCTCCTCCACTCCAATCCTGGGTATTCTTGCTCTTTCAAGGTCGGAAGTACCTTTTGACTTCCATAGATGTTGAATAGGAACAGGGAGAGTTGAGCCCTGAGGCAACCCACATATCAGAAGTCTAGGATTAGACCTCTCTCCTTCCCACCTACACCAACTGGCCTCAGAAGGAGGAGAACCACCACAAAACTGTGTCCCCCATTCTCAACTCCCTGAGCCAGTCTAGAATGATACCCAACTGATGGTATTTAAAGCTACCAAGGGATTCAGGAGGATCAGGATGGATGCACTACCCCATCATGAGCCCTCTAGCATGATCAGTGCCATCTCAGTAATACAGCCTGGCCTGAAACTCAACTGGAAAGGTCCAGATACTCCGCTTCCTGAAAAGGGAAGTTTGGAAACTGGATTATCCAGTATGGTTGGATCCAGGAAGGGCTTCTTGAGGAGGGGACAGACCACAGCCTCCTTCAAAGCAGATGGAATCATCCCCTCCCACAAAGAAGCATTCATCACCACTTGGATCCATCTACATGTCATTTCCTGGGGGGCCTTGACCAACCAAGAGGGACATGGATCTAAATCACAGGTGGTAGAACTCACAGCCACAAGGGCTATGTCCACTACCTCAGCACCGATAGACTGGAACTCTTTGTATAGGTTACCTAGCAAGACCACGCCTCTGTCAGTTCCATAGGACCTGTCCAGCCAGAATCCACCTCTAAGCAGATTTGAGTAACTTGATCTGACAGATGCCTAGAATAGTCATCAAGCGACCTCACAAGGGTTCCCCTGGCCCTGCCTTACCAAGAAGGGAGCTAGTTACCCCAAGGTTCAGTAAGTGCAGAGGAGTAAGCCTGCTTTGCCACTTTTAATGGTGCAAGGTAAGCCCTAATAAATGTTTTCATCTGTACTTGGTCAGATTCACTCTGTGTCTTCCTCCAGTGGTGCTCTAGGCATCTTGTGTTCTTTCATCTCCTGGAGTTCCTTTGAAAACCAAGGAGTCCTCCAGGATCCAAAACCACAGAGTCTGCACAGGTGGGATCTGATCTAAGGCTGTTGCTGCCCACTCATTCCAGGCTGCATCTAAGGCCTCAATCAGGCCATGCAACCAAGCTTCCCTAAAACCACAAAGTCCCTTTGGAACGCTTTCAAGTTGATCAGTTGTCTGGAGGAAATCAATCGAATAGGCCCTTCCTTAGTATAGTGGAGGATAGCTGCAGAGGCTCCCAAGGCTAAAAGGAAGACTTAGATGGAGATGAGCAGGAGCCATTACCTTGGAAAAAGGGGCTGAAACATTGTTTTAAGTCCAGAGCAACAAGATAACATTTGGAAGTGGCTAAGGCAGACATTTTCCTAATTTACTGAACTATAAGAGGGAGGACAATCAGCACAATCAGATTTGCAAGATTCTGTTTTTATAGCCAATCTCAATAAAAGTAGCTCTAGCCTTTTTAAGGAGTTGATTTCCTGGTGTGGTCTACCTAGTGGGGCTGACAGGAGTGATCTATCCATGAACCTAATGTCAATATCCCGCAATACCAGATCAGATTCCCACTGCCCTAGGACAAAAACTGGACCTAGTGCGTAAAAGCTGCCAGAGATTCAACAGTTGCACCTCCACCCCTGCTCTGGAATCATGACTGGTGCTATAACTGCAACCCAGAATGGCATATTTCAGAGAGGGAACACCCCCCCACACACTGATGCTCAGCCAAGTTTCGGTAATGCATACCAGGTCAGCCCTCTCATTTATAGCCAGCAATTTCATTTAGTAATTTACTTTAATCATATGGAACAATCTCTGTGTGAGAATATGAACGTTGATATTAATGATGATTTTACAGTCTCCTTGGGCTTTCTGTCATGTTCAGCTTCAGTTCCTCCATAATATCAAAAGATAAGCAGAGGCACAATTTGGGAATATTTCACCATTTCAGTAAGGATTGACTATTTCTCATTCATAAAATTAAATGATCCTTGCTCCAAACAATTAAATGTTTTCCCTTGTATCAATTATTGTATTTCCCATGAGGTAGATGTTAGAGCATGAATGCTAAATCAGATGTGAAAAGAATGGGGATGGATGGATGGCCACCCATTTATTAATATTTCATTTTACATTATACATCAAAGTTGCTCAAGCTCCATGCAAAATAGGGACAGAACTTTTGCCTAGGTAGATCCAGATCCAGCACTGAGCTGGCTATTAGTGGGAATCCTAGTTTGATTTTGCCTTCAGTTAATTGGTATGTCTGGATTTGACAGCTGCTTAAAACATGTAAAAGACTGTACGCCCCTTCGGTTAGCTTATTTCTATTAATGTTTGATTGCTATATGTTCACGTGGTGGCAACATAACATCAAATGCTTTATTGCAATGAAAAAACTTATAATGAAAACATCAAATCTGGAGTACAAAGGCAATGATTTTGGTCCTTTGTCCAGTGTTGATTGCTCATTTGAAATACTTCCCCTTTTGATATAACATGTAAAAGCTGTTTTCAGTCCTGAAGCAATTTTTTTTATGTGACTATTTTATTATAACTCTCTGAGGTAATAATTAATGGCAAAATGTATTGTGTTGATGAGTAAGCAGCTCCTATTCTGAGAATCTGAATAATCAAATTCATGTAGCTGTAGGTAGTGAATAAGATTACTTATTGTATATACTGCTCTTAACTGTAAATGTACAAAATTTGGCTAAAAGGTGAAAGAAACCTTTCAAACTGATATATAGTATAACCTTGTAGAGAATTACATTGAAAATGATTTGTAAAAATAACTGAATTCAGTTTGTTTTAATTTTCTAGTATTGTCACAGAATACAATTTCCTTTCATCTTAAACTGGTAAAACCAGAATGTAGTCTAAACATAGAAAAGTTTCTCTATATCCTTGATTTTAACTATATATTAAAATTCTTTTATAACTAAGAAGGGTGCTATGTTCTGTCTTCTCTCCATTGTTGTTGTTGTTCAGTCATTAAGTCGTGTCCGACTCTTCGTGACCCCATGAACCATATCA